CTCAGCTGCTTGTTGCCTGCCACGTCCACACGCAAGGGTTGCTGTTGCCGCCCTCCCAAAGGAGGCCCTGCACTGGACCCCAGAGATGCCCCAGACTTACAAAAGAAGGAAACAGGGGCCTTACATCTTGAGCCAGGAAAAAGCCAGTGAACTACATTAGATCTCCTAGTTTTAATCCCATCCACAGGGAAGCTAAGGGTTGAGGATATGTGAGAGATGAATTCTCACAGCAAGGACACAAGGAGACTTTGTCCTCCGGGACCACTGAGCAGGGAGGCGTGTTGGGACTAGACAGGATCTTGCTCTGTAGTCCAAGTTGCTCTCAGACTCTGGCCATTCCCTTTTCCTCTGCCTCCTGAGTGTGTGGGGTATAGGTCTGAGCTACTATGTTCATCAATGGATCCTCACTTCTCCAGCCTTCTTTTCAGTAGTGGGGATTGAACCTGGGCTTCATGGATACTAGGTCTGCCTCCTGCTACCCAGCCTCAGACTATCCCTTAACCAGCATGAGAATAACCTTGAAACAGGAAACTACCAATCACCACAGAGGAACCAGGACTGAAGCCACCTTTCGTAGCTTTGTTAGCTCTCTGCATCCCTAACGCTAAGGAGGGCACCTTACTGAGGGAGGCAGCTGGCCAGGAACAGGATGACAGGAACTCAAAATGGAGGCAGCTGTTGACAAGGGAATTTTTTGATATCACCTTAAGTATAGCAGGTAACCATTCAAAGCAAGGGGAAAACAAACAAACAAACAAACAAACAAACCCTTAACCATCTAGAAAGACAAGCCATTCTAAAGATTTTAGTCAGAGACACCCCCCCCCCCATCTCCAAAATAAAGGGTGGGCCTGAGATGTCACACATTTTTCAAGAAGATCCCAGCATGCACACAGGTCTGGGTTAGAACTTCAACAGAGCAAGGTTGTGTGAGTGGGGGTGGGGGTTGTCACTAGCTATCTTGCAGAGAGGGACTCTCAGAAAGAAGCTGTGGGTTTGGGGTATTAGCTCCATTGCTGTTCTCCATTTCCTGCTATGGTCCAGAGACCAAATCTAAGAACTGCGGCTTCAGGTGGATTAAAAAGTCTAAATCAAAACAAAGCCTATTCACTGTGGGGGTGGGGATGGGGATGGGGGTCAGGTGACTTCAAAATCAAATTGGAAAGCATTTATGTTTACAAAAGAATGGCATTCTTAAATGGCAATTTGAAACCAACAGTCCTGTAATTAAAATGTTTTGAACATTTTAAATTGCACTTCCATACTGTTTTTTAGGAGAATTGTTTTCTTGCTCTAGGCTCCTGCTGTCACAGTTCCTTGTGCTCTGTCACATCTTAGGTTGTGGGCGTCCAATTTTCCTAATAGGCTTATGGTAATGTACTGTGAACAAACGAAAATCTAACATGTCATGTAGATGGCATTAAATTGTAAATTAACAGCCTACTGACATTTGAAGGCACTAATACTTGATATCTTCTTAGAAAAAAAAACTTTCTTCAACTTTTACATCGGAAAGTTACTGTTGTTTCAGGAAGAATCACAGCTGCATGATTTACCTTTTTAGTACATAAACCCGGAACGGTGTGTTCACCTTTAATACTCACTCTCAGGAGGTAGAGGCAGGTGGATCTCGGTGAGTTCCAGGCCTGCCCCAGCTACACAGGGAGACCCTGCCTCAGAATAAGTTAACAAATTAAAAAAATTTTAATTAAATTAATTAGAAGAAAAAAAAATTCAGTGCAGTAGAGTAAAAATTTGGGCAGTGGTGGCTGGGGAAGCTCTGAGACCAGCCTCACCCACAAAACAAGCTCCAGGGACCACCAAGGCTAAACAGAGGAAGGTATCTGAGGCTAGTCTGGTCAATACAGGGAGCTCCAGACAGCCAGAGCTGTCATGGAGACCTGAAGGCCTGAGTTTGATCCCCGAAACCCTTGTGGAAGGGGAGAATTGGCTCCCTTTAGCTGCCCTTTGATTTGTAATAATAACAAAATAATTAAAGTTGAGTAAAAAAAAAAGAGAAAAGAAAAAGAATTACAAGGCAACCGTGGTATCGCATGCCTGAAATCCCAGCACTGGGGAGGCAGACACAGGCAGATCTCTTTGAGTTTGAGGCCAGCCTGGTCTACAAATTGAGTTCAGGACAGCCAAGGCTACACAAAGAAACCCTATCTCGAAAAACTAAAAAGAAAGAAAGAAAAAAAGAAAAGAATTACATGCAAATTACATACAAATTAAAATGTATGTGCTGGAAAGATGGCTCAGCGGGGTTAAGAGCACTGGCTGCTTTTCCAGAGGTCCTGAGTTCAATTCTCAGCAACCACATGGTGGCTCACAACCATCATAATGGAATCTGGTGCTCTCTTCTGGCAAGCAGGTGTACATGCAGATAAAGCACTCACATACCTTAAATAAATAAATAAATCTAAACACACACACACACACACACACACACACACACACACACATACACACACACACATATATATAGTCTGTGTGTAGATTATCACATCCAGTAAAATCTTACCAGAACACAGGAACGAAAAATAGCACGTGATACTGAGGGTGCCATGTTTAGGCTCATATCCGCTTAGTCACTCATACCCAGCGTGAAATCGAGTATAAGGTCTGTCCAAATAAGAACCCTCACAACAACAGGCCAGACACTGAATGGCTCTACCCTTGTGAAGGACAGAAAGAACGAAAGTGTGTCTGTGCGCGCTGGCGCCCGTATGTTCAGGTACCGAGTTGCGCGCATGCGCTCCTGTGCCTCTGTGTGTACGGCATGATGCTTGGGAGGTGGTTAGACAATTTTACAGTCAGCTGTCCTCTTCCAGCCTGTGTTTCAGGGATCAAACACGGGTCAGGGTTGACTTTCGTTAGCCTTCCTACAATTTCCATTGCAGGCGTTAAGAGTCTTGGTGGAAGAGAGGCGGGGAAAGGTGGAGGACAGCGTGGTTTTGCTATGCTTGGATTCTGCCTGTCTCCTTCCTCTAGATGCCGGAAGATACAGTGCTGGCTTCCCGACCGTTCCCCTCGTTCCCCTCGGCACCCAGAGCAAGCGAGGCTCCTGTGTCCCAGCATCTGCCACCAGCAGCTTCCTTCAGGTAAGCACTGCCATCTTTTAATCCTTTGGTACTGATTCAGAAGCGTGCAGGGGCACAAGGATTTTAATGTAGGGAGTGAGGCGTTTGGGAGCATGCAGGCCTGGATTTAGTCATTGCCTGAGGTGTCAGCTGGGGGGCACGGGGCCTGCCTTCCCCGTGCTCAACCTTCTAATGGGGGCTGACAGCGCATGACCTTTGTACACGCAGCTGAGTGCCGCGCGCGTGCCGCGCCGCGCTCAGTACCAAATGTGAGCCGCGTGGGCCAGGAAAGGTGTGGCAGAGCATAACCCATAAATAATGAGGTACCCTATCGTTCAAGAGAAGACCCAGGTAAACAGAACCAGACAGGGACATATCGTTCTCCAGACCGATGAGCTCTGTTCTTAGAGAACCAAGGGACCAATTGATTAGAGGTAATTGTAATTGGTAATGAAATTTCAGAAACGCCGGGAGAAGAAAAAACTCACCGGGAAAATCAACAGAATCCGTTAAAAATTACTTTGAGATATCACCTCACCCCCGTCAGAATGGCTCTTATCAACTTTCTGACAGCAAATGGTGGAGAGGAAGGTAGAGAGAAAGGACCACTTATTCACTGTTGGTGGATGAAAATTAATGCAGCCATTGTGGAAATCAGTTTGGACACTGCTCAAAAAAATTAAAAATAAACTTACCATATGACCCATCTGTTTTTCTCCTGGGCACCCACTCAGATAACTTCATACCCTATCATAGAAATATTTGAATGACCATGTTTATTGCTGTTTTATGATTGTCCATTGGCAAATGAATAGACAACTTGGTATGTGTATAAAATTGAATACTATTCAGCTCTAAAGGAAAAATGATTTTTAAAATTTATAGAAAAGTAGATGAACTTAGAATATATAGTATTACGTGAGGCTACACAATTTTAGAAACAAAAACCTTCATGTTCTCTTTCATGTGTGGAATCTAGCCAACATTTATATATATGTATATATACATAAACATATACACATCTGTATAACATACAGAAAAGCAAACAAGAAAAACCTAAGTATAAGGGATGAAGAAGGGCTAAATGTGGGTAATGGGTCCAAGTCATGAAAGAGGATGTGAAGCTAAATTTTTTCTAGTTCTAACTCTGTCATGAAATTTTTTGGTTTTGGTGGTCTTTAAGTACATAGACTATATTTGATAATTAAAGTATAAAGTCCACAGTGGGGCCATGTTGGCATGCGCCTTTAATCCTAGCACTTGGGAGGCAGAGGCAGGCAGACTTCTGAGTTCCAGGGCAGCCTGGTCTACAGAGAAAGTTCTAGGACATTCTGGGCTACACAGAGAAACCCTGAAAAAATAGTAAGCAAACAAACAAATATGTGAAATCTCATGGGAAGCCCCAAAGCTTTTGTTCTGAGTGCTTAATCTCATTGTGTGGAACTTCACTGAGTCTGGTCAAATTTGATGTGAGATGTTTTTGTTTATCCAAAAGTGTTTTGTTTTTTAAATAATTAAGCTGTTTATCTTCAGAAGGGATGAGCAGTGGGTGAGCGCAGCAAACACATCAATCAGTGCAGAAAAATTTTTCCTGCCCTTTAATTTAAAAACAAAACAGAAAAGATATTCGTTTTCAGTTCTGAACTCCACTTCTCCTTTCTCGAAATGAACTTTTCACAACAGTACATGGCCCTTATTGGCTTTACTAGTTATTACTTAACAATCCACATCTGCCTCTTTGTTAACTACAGCAACGATGAGAAAATTGTCCCCAAACACTTAACAAGACCAGAAACAGGAGCTATGAGGAGTCCCCCTCAATTGCCAGCTGGTCTAAAAGCTGCCTTGTAAATCAATCTTGTGCAGCTCGGTTGCATTTGTGTCAGGTTGAGGAAAGCAAACAGCTAGAGTGCTTACCTGTTAATGTTCTGCGAGGAGCCAAGCTGTTGTGGCCTCTGAATGTAACCTCCTCCTGCTCCCTTAGGCTTCGCACTCTTTTCCTGGCTGCCTCATACTGCTTTTATTTGACTTTTGAAATGACACTGTGCCAAAAAAAAAAAAAAAGAAAAAGAAAAAAAGAAAAGGTTTTGAGTGTTTTTTCTTAAAGATTTATTTGTTTTTATTTTATGTGCGTGGCCATTTGTCTGTATGTATATCTGTGTTCTACATGTATGCAGTGCTGGAAGTGTGTGTGGGATGTCCCAGAGCCTTGTTACAGATGGCTGTGAGCCCCCATGGGGGTGCTGGGAATTCTTTCCTGGGCCTCTGGAAGAGCATCTAATGTGCTTAATTGCCAGCCATCTTTCCAGCCTCAAGTGTGTGTGCACGCGCGCATATGTGTATGTTTTCTTTCTTTCTAAAAGAAAGATGTATTCCAGAAAGAAAGTGAGCAAGGAATGTAAGGTATGGATTGTTTTTTTCCCAAGGCCGTTTTTGTAACATTGTCTGGTTTTCCTTTGTTGTAGTTTAATTGGGACTCAGATCAGCTGGATGCCCGGTGCTAGCAGGGAACAGGGTGATTTGAAGCTTCCTCTCCTTTATCTGGGGAGGTTTTTGCTTATGAAAAGTCAAGTTATAGTGGCAGTAATGGAACAGAAGCCAGAAAATGTCGAAGGAAGTTGGTCAATCCACAGGAACCTATAGGATTACTCAGGAGAAATTTTTAAAGATTACATTTACTTGGTGTGTGTATGTAGGTCAGAGGATAGTTCAGGAGTCCATTTTCTCTTCCCACTGTGTGGACCCTGGGGATTGGACGCAGGCCCTCAGGTTTGGTGACAAATGCCTTTACTTATCAAACTATCTCATGAGACTGAGAAATTTTTTTTGAACTGGAAGTTGTTGTTGTTTAACTGTTTTGTTAGTGAAGAGATGGGATCCTATTGGTGTGTTCCTATTGGTGTGATCCTATTTGGTGTTTTCTGAGAGGTGGAGTGAGAGAACTTCATTCACTCCAAGGGGGGGGAAATCTGATTTTAAGCCCACATCACCCATTGTCTGTGGCCCTGGTCAGGAGTGTTTATGTGTGAGTCAGGCCTCAGTTCAGAAGTTCGAGGGATGAGTAGTATGGAGACTGAAAGTGAGCAAGCTTGGACACTGCTCGCTTCCCTCTGAAAAACCACCTCGACTCTGGTATGCTCTATGAACCCAACTATATGATATTTGAAACTGAACCTCACTCGTCCATAAAAAGTCAGCTTTAAAAATGTTCACAGCACAGGGCATGGCAGTTAGGCAGAGACAGGTAGATATGTATGAGTTCAAGGCCAGCCTGGTCTACACAGAAAAATTCTGGCCAGCTATGGCTACCCTATCTCAAAACCAACCAAACAAACAAAAAGTCAAATGCTCATGATTTTATATACTTGTTGTTTAGAACCAAAACTAGAAAAATCACAAGATGTCATTTTCATGGTGGGAGTTAGGCGATGTGGAAAGGGACTTTCCAGACTCTCGTCCTTTGTCCTAGATTCTAGAGCCTTCTTGGGCCTAGAAGGACATGCCTGCCTCCAGGGAGTCTCCTGATGGTGCAGCGATAAGCGCGCACCACGATCTTGGCATTTTTCTTTTCTGACTTGATGGATTCATGTGCTTGCTGGAGGGAGGGGGTAATTGTCAGTGTTGTAGGCTAGTCAGTGTGTCCGCCCATACCTGTGTTCTGTCATCTCACCAAAGCTCAATTTCATCCATAAAAGGCGCTTTTGAGGAGAATTTCGAGAAGTGTCAGCTACTTAACATAGTTTTTGTTTTGTGATAAAACAGGAAGCATCCAGGAGCAAAGACTGGAAAAAGCAGTGAGAGAAAGAAAAGACACTGATTAAGGAGTATCCCATGTGTCAAGCATAACATAAACATGGTATACAGTGAAAGCCAGGAATGTGTGTCTTATCTGTGTGTTAGTTACCACCTAAACTAAGTGTTGAGATATGCTTGTTTCACATTAATCCAAGACACAGTGAATTAAATTGCCATGATAACTAAAAACAAAATGAAACAAAACAAATCTATCTTTAGTAGAGCTCTATAGTTTGCTATGTGTTTGAAGATCGCCTTTCGTGGTTTCTCTCTGTATACTACCTGGGATGGCCTTACCTGACTGTCCTGTCTTGGCCTCTCAAGTGGGTGGGACCACAGGTGTGTGCCACTATATCCTGCTTTGAATAGCCCCCCTTTGATAGTCTTAAGAAGTCATGACTTGCAGTTGATGAGTTTTGCAAGGTCTCTGAATCCAGACCTGCTTAAATGAACTAGAGACCTTGAGTATTAATCATGCAGTAGAATGTCTGCCATGTTGGTTGGACTGGTAAGTGGAGGTACCAGAGATCTGTTGGGAGAGCCTTTTTGGAGCCATAGAGATGGCTTAGCAGGTGGTTGTGGCCCTTGCCTTCAAGCTAATGGTCAGGGTTTGCTCCCTGAACCTAGGTAGTGGAGGGAGAGAACTGAATCCAGAGTTGTCTTCTGACCTCCACATGTACAGTGTGATCCACACACAAACACACACACTAAACAAACAAACAAATGTTTGTAAAGAGAAAGAGAACTTCCTTTGGCAGTGGTAGGGTTTGGGATTTGTTTCCAAACACCCTGATTTCCAAAACTGTTCTTTTAAAAGGCTTACGTGTCTCGGTATGTGCCTCCTTATTGGAAGAGGTGTTTACAGAACTGACTCAATAGGAGGAAGGGCTAGAAATGACTTCTACCAGACAGAAGGGTTTCAGGGCAGCTTCTCTGCTTTCAAAGCCTGCTAGAGCTCTGACAAAGGAACTTCTTGAAGGACATATGTATGCTTACAATCCTTTACATCAACTTGGCTCAGGCACAACACAACACCTCTAGCACATTATTTTGGGCATGAGGACCTCCCACACCATAAAAATAACTTATTTTCATTGATGCTTGAAAGTTGACTTTTCTATAATTAGAATATATTATACTTTTTAAAACATGCATTTGTAGTGATCGAATGTTGTGATTTTAAGTGGTCATCTTCTTATTCCTGCCCCAAGTCTTACTGAGGAAAATTTGGGGTTAAAAACTTGATCAAATATGGCACGTGCCTGTAATCCCAGTACTCTGGGATGCAGAGGCAGGTGGATTTTTGTGAGTTTGAGGCCAGTCTGGTCTACAGAGTGAGTCCAGGACAGTCAAAGCTACATAAGAGAAACCCTGTCTCCAAACACAAACAAACAAAAAGGCATAAAAAGCCATACTTGTTGTAAATACCTAAATTGATGATAGTTTCAGAAATAAAGTTTTGGTAGAATGTAAGTGGTGTTCATGTTAATTTGTATTAATGATCAAACCTAATCTTGCTGTTGTTGTGTGGGGAAAGGAAGGAAGGCAGGCAGGCAGGAAGGAAGGAAGGAAAGAAAGAAAGAAAAAGAGTCCAAGTGACATTTTCTCACGAAGAAGTTGATTGTGAATAAGAGGCTCTCCTTTCAGTTCTTTCCTGTTATTCAGGGCGCTAACTCCCTCATATATATGAGGACCCTTCTTGGGCCTGCTGCTTCTTAGGTAGGCTGGGTTAGAGATGAGGTTTATTTGATTGCACAGTGAGGCTGCACGCATTCAGAGCTTTCCAAGGATGGGAATGGATTCACAGGCACAGATTTAGTGGCCCTAGGGGTTTGCATTGAGAAGCCAGGCAGCCCTGAGTTAACAGGGGCATTTTTATTCTACTTAAACCAAGAATTCTTAAAGGCCACCTAGGACAAAGCCTTGTCTAAATTCTTGCTTTTAATTTTTATTATTCCCTAGAGGAGCTGAGCTTGGAGGATTTGGCGGGGGGTGGGGGGACAGGCTAGAAGACACCCTCTACATCTTTTTCTCTAAGACACACAAGGCTCTAATTCCCCGCGGAAATGTGGGGAGCGGCTTCTATTTTCTCTCTAATTTGAATAAGCCTTCACAATAAGCCAAATGCCAATTCAAATGAGATCTAGATAAAAGGATTTAAATTGATTTTCTTACCTACTGTCTGTCTGAGTCACTTTCCTGGGAGTGGTAGGGAGGGAGGTTGAAGCTCTGGGATGTGTGGGGAGCGAGCAAACAAACACTTACCCCCCAAAGGTGCCTGTGCGGGTTCGGTGGGGAAGCTGGGAGGCTGGAAGGCGGGCAGCCACGTCTTCTGGGCTCCGTGCTCAGGATCCTTGAGCTTTAATGATTTCTCTAGGAGAACTGATTGCAGCTGCTTTGAATGGAGGAAGAAGTATTTCCTCTCTTAGTAAGCAAGGGAGGCAAATCTAACTCCACTGCCTTGGGAAAGGAAATGTGTTTCGCCTGTAGCCAAATAAATCTGTTAAACTCCGGTTAGGTGACAGTATCCTTGGCCTTGACCCAAAAAGTCAGGCCCTTCCCAACTACCTACTCCAATGATGCCACTTTTCTCATTAAACTCTCATAATTATAAATATGATGTCAGCGTATCTGGCTTTTCCCAAAACATCACATTTTAGGAAAGAAAAAGGACGAGAAGGGAGCACATTTTCTCAGCCTCTGGTTTAGCTGGTTCAGCTGGTTTAACATTTCTCATTGGGAAAATTGGCAGCCTGGGGACACACCACAGCTGTTGCTGCATTTTGTTTACACTGTAAGGTTTTTACAATTCGAATTTACTTCCAACATTAAAAAATCAAGACAGTTTAAATGGCCACTTAGATTATTGATTCCTCATGAAACGAATTAGCTTGTCTGGGTACGGCGGGACACAGTCCCCGTGAGGCTGCTAAGTTAGGCTGCTCTCGGTTTAGACAAGACGTCGCCTGGGGTCCTGTTTGTTTCACTCCTTCCCGCTCCCTCTTAGATGGCCTTTGACAGTCTCCACCCGCATCCTTCTCTGCCCCTCTTCCTCTTGAATTTCTTCAGTGTAAGAAAACTGGGCTGAGTTTACTGCAGTCTGAGCTCTTTCTTGCTCGGGAGTTGATAGTCTTGGGCAACATGATCGTGCGCTAGAGAAAGCGGACCCCGGTGGTTAACCTAGTAAAACCTGAGCACGCCGCGAAGAATGATGAAGTTCACAAGGCAACCCTAAGGAGCTTAACTGCAGAAGGGCCGTGTGTAACCGGAGGTGTAACAGGAAGCAGCCGGCCCAATACAAGGCGTGCACTGTAGGAAAGCAGTAACTAGACCCACTACAGCCCTTCTGCTCTCCATCACATGTCAACAGTTCTTTTATTGTTTAACTTTTCCCGATTGGTGTGATTACTGGGAGCTTTAACGGTATTTATTTATCTTGAGGCCAGGTTTTGTCGAAACAGCCTGTTATAGCTGGGCTGTCTTTGAGTTTGCAGTGATCCTCCTGCTTCAGCCCCCTAAGTGCTGAGCTAATAAGTGTGTGGCGCTATTCCCAGCCGCCATTTATTTTATTTCATTTTTTTCTGTGTATCTGTGTGCCTGCCAGAGTGTATGTGTGTTTGCGTGTGGAGGCACACATGTGCGTGAGTACATGGGAGGCCCAAGGTTGATGTTAAGTGATTCCTGCCTGATACTTTGAGGCAAGGTCTCTAGCTCAATCCCGGGTCTGCCTTCTTGGCTTGGCTGCTGGCTACTTGTTCCAGGAGTTAGCATTCTCTGTCTATGGTACATAATGAGCACAGATGGGTCCCACACTTACCTGACTTTTATGTGGATGCTGGATCCTACTACTTGCACGGCAAATGCTGGATCCACTGAGCTTTCTTCCCAGCCCTCATTTATTTATTATTATTATTATTATTATTAATTTTTTTTTTTTTTTTTTAAGACACGGTCTCTCTATGTAGTATTCCTGGCTGGCCTGGAGCTCACCCTGTGGACCAGGCTGGCTTTGAACTTACAGAGATTCTCTGACCTCTGCCTACCACAGGCTGGGATTAAAGAACCACAAAGAACCTCGATTTTATTTTGAAATCAGGTCTCTCCCTGAACCTGGGGTTCACAGATTCAGCTTCAGAGATTATCTCTTTCTTACTAGTGTGGCTGTTTCACATACAGAAATGTGAGGTGTCCGAGTTTGATGGAGGCCTTTCTCTCGCCTCAGGTGGGCTTTATCTCAAAAGTCAGAGTGCTTTCTTGTTGATTCATAGGGGTAAGATGAGAGAAGGCAGAGCTCACCAGAGCAGGGGCAGGTCCGTGGAAATGGGAAACCACCGGGCTGAGTCTGAGGTTTTTAAAAGGGTAGTAATGGGTGATTGAGGTGTGGGGTGGGGTCTGCTGATCTGTCCAGCCACCCTACCTCTGGGTGTCCAATGCCTCCTCAGTCTCCCTCACAGGCTCACACATAGCCTCACAGAGAGAAAGAAGGGACCAGAACTCCCCTCTGGCCGCCCTGCTTCCTGTAAAGACATTTCAGAATTGGTATTTTGGTGTCTCTGTTCTCTGAATTTTGACCTTTTTTTTGTTGTTGTTTTGCTTTTGTTTGTTTTTCAGACAAGGTTTCTCTGTGTAGGCCTGGCTGTCCCAGAACTCATTCTGTAGACCAGGCTCCCCTTGAACTCACTGATCTGCCTGCCTCTACCTCCTGAGTGCTGGAATTAAAGGCATGTGCCACCAGCACCAAGCTATTTGGACATTTTTCTAAGAATGAAAACTAAAGTCTAAATCAAGACATAGAATAGAGCCAGCAAGACAGCTCGGGGGTTAAGGTACCTGCTGCCAAACTCCAATAACCAGAGTTTAGTCCCTGGGGCCCAAAGAGT